GCGCACCATGACCATTTCACCTGGTTGGAAAGTCTTGTAGCGGCGATGTGCATCAGCCTTTTGCTTGTACAAGTCATTTGAGGCTTGTATGGTGTTGCGGACGCTGTCCAGCATTGTCTTGAAATCCTCTGCTAGCTTGGTGGCCGCCGGGTTTTGGCACTTAGGTAGAACGGCAATGTCTACAACATGGTTAGGAGGTTTAGTGTAGACAATATTAAATGGGCACATACCAGTGGATCTATTGGGCATGGAATTGTAAGCGAATTTCGCCTGACTCAGGATGTCATCCCACTTCTTCGGATTGTCCTGCACCAAGCATCGCAACATATTACCAAGCGTGCGATTCACCACCTCGGTTTGGCCATCCGTTTGGGGGTGATAGGCTGAGCTTAGTTTGAGTTCTGTTTGTAGTTGCTTCCAAAGATCTCTCCAAAAATGACTAATGAACTTGACGTCGCGGTCGGAGGTGATGCTTCTTGGGAGACCATGAAGGCGAACAATCTCCCTGAAAAATAATCGAGCAATGCCAAGTGCATCTGACGTCTTCTTGCAAGCTATAAAATGAGCCATCTTGGAGAACCTGTCAACCACCACCATGATCGAATCGACACCCCTCTTAGTTCTTGGCAATCCGAGGACGAAATCCATACTAAGATCTTCCCAGATTGATCTCGGAACAGGCAACGGGCTGTATAAGCCGGTATTTTGGCTATGGCCTTTGTATACCTGACACACCGGACAGTTTTGTACATACTTCGCAACATCCTTCCGCAAGTGGGGCCAAAAGAATCGCGCTCGCATCTGTTCTACTGTCTTTTCTCGGCCTAAGTGAGCTGCCATTCCCCCTTCATGCATCTCGCGCACCAACTGCAAACGGACGGAGGAGGCAGGGATGCATAGCGAATTCCCTTTGAATAAAAATCCATGACGCAAGGTATAGTCATCCACGGGCTGTCCAGTGGTACAACGCTCCCAAGGGATAGCAAAATCCCTGTCCAGGCAATAGAGGTCTTTGAGAGCTTCTAGACCAGTAATTTCTGTTTGAAGCTGGACTAGAAGAGCGGAGCGCCTACTCAGGGCGTCAGCAACTCTGTTATGCTGCCCAGATTTATGTTTAAGTACAAAGCTAAACTTTTGTAGAAAGACAACCCATCTAGTATGCATTTTATTGATATTTTTTTGGGTGTTCAGAAACTGTAAAGCTTTATTATCGCTGCATAGAACAAAATCATTGTGTAAAAGATAATGTTCCCATTGTTTAAGTGCTCAGATTACCGCATATAATTCTTGCTCATAGGCTGACCACTTTTGTCTTGCAGGGCTTAATTTCTCACTAAAAAACTCTACCGGTCGATCGTCTTGCGAGAGCACTGCGCCTACTCCCACTGCCGAGGTGTCGGTATCTACGTGAAAAGCCTTGTTAAAATCAGGAGCTGCCAACACCGGTGCCGAAGTAAGTGCCAATTTGATTGTGTCGAAACTTCGCTGATGCTCGACTCCCCATTTGAAAGTACTAGCCTTTAGGCAATTAGTGATTGGGGCCATAATTATACTAAATCCGCGGATGAACCGTCTATAAAAATTGGCTAACCCATGAAAACTACGAATTTCTGTCAGAGAGCTGGGTTGTGGCCACTGTTGTATAGTGAGGATTTTATTGGGGTCCATTCCAATGCCTTCGGCCGACACAATGTAGCCCAAAAACTGCACCGAACTGGTGGCAAATTCGCACTTGGACTTGTTCAAATATAGCTTATGGATTCATAACACTTCCAGGACCTCCTGCAAATGTTTCCAATGTTCTACCATAGATGGGCTGAACACCAATATGTCGTCGAAGTAGACCACACATCACTTGCTTAGTAATGGTTTTAACACTTCTGTCATCAATCGTAGGAATGTTGCCGGGGCATTGCACAGGCCGAATGGCATAACCCTCCATTCAAACAATCCATTGCGAGTTTTGAAAGCGGTTTTCCACTCGTCGTCCGGTCGAATTCAAATTTGGTGGTACCCGCTTCTCAAGTCGAGCTTTGAAAAAACTTTGGCCCCCGCCAAATAATCTAACATGTCTTCCAATCTTGGAACCGGGAAGCGATATTTGAGGGTAATTTTATTGATAGCTCGACTGTCAATACACATCCTCCACGCACCATCTTTCTTTGGCACTAAAAGCGCCGGCACCGCACATGGACTCAGGCTGGGTTGGATAAGCTGCTTATCTAATAGTTCATCCACAATTTTCTGGAGTTGAAAATGCTCTGTTGGAGTCATTTTATAATGTGGCAAGTTTGGTAGAGAGGCCCCAGGAATTAAATCTATTTGCTGCTGTATTGATCACATGGGTGGTAGCTCATGAGGCAAGCTTGCTGTCACTATGTCTGAAAAATCATCCAGCAACTATGCCAATTCCGGTGGGATGTTACCCTGTTTGATCTCCCAATTTTCTTCTGCAACTAAAACTGCAAACATTGACTTCACCTCCTTACCAGTCTTTAACAGGGCATTGCCTGAGACAATGCAAAGAGCAGGTCGCCGTTCAACTTCTTCGTCGGTTGAGTGTTGTGTCGCAGGCAACAACCGTAATTTACGACTTTTCCATTCAAATGAATAAGCATTAGCTCGCCCGTCGTAAATGACACCAGTGTCAAATTGCCACGGCCTACCCAGAATTAAGTGGCACACGTCCATATCAAGGACACATAATATTTCACTATTATAATGCTTCACAATTGAAAAATTTACCCGGCACATCTCGGACACTTGAATGTCCATACCCTTCTTAACCCAGCTAATCCTATAAGGATTCGGGTTCTTAGCAGTCTTAAGCTGCAAAGCGTTCACTACTGCTCTAGAAATGATATTTTCAGTACAACCATTGTCAATCAAAAGATCACATACCTTCCCTTTTATAGTACATTTGGTCCTGAAAATTACATTGCGTTGGGATTTTGTGTGCTGGTTAGGTGTGAGCAGTAACTTTTGGAGAACGCATATGACAGGCTCCCCGTCATCTCCAGCTATTTCCTCATATTCCTCTTCATTTTCAACTTCTGCCGACGGGTTAGGAAGCTCAGAATCTCCCTCGAGGAGTTGTAATTGTTGCCGATTCGGGCACTCATTAGACTTATGGCCTGGATGGAAGCATCTGAAACACTTCAATGTGGTTGGTCTGCTATAAGGATTGTCCTTTGCTGGAGCTTTCATTCGATTTGCAACTTTGTTGTCAGGAGCTTGCGGAGGTGATGTGGTCACAGTTGAGGCCTTAGAAACAGATTTTGAACTGCTGCCTTGATTAGGCGCTTGTCCCCGATTGTCTGAAGTGGCGAAGTCATTAAAGTGGCGACGTACTGACATGGGGAGAACCGGTCGGTTGAGTTGCATTTCTGTCTCCAGTGCGAAATTGACCGCTTGCGACATTGACCATACTGAATTTAACTCCAATTTGTCCTGAATGCCCTCCTTCAATCCGCCGATGTAGCGAGCAACTATTTGATTGGCAGTTTCGTTCAGGTTGTTGCGAGCACTGAGGCGGTAAAACTCCTCGGTGTAGTCGCTCACACTCCGCTGTCCTTGCACACAATGCTGAAATTTCATATACAATATTTGGTCATAATCTGTGGGTAAATAATGGCTTCGCAAGAGTTGCTTCATTCTTGCCCAACTTCGGACATTGCCTTTTCCTTCTCGGTGCCGAGCTTGTAACAACTGCTGCCACCATGCACTCGCACCACCTCATTGTCGACAAGCTACATACTTCACTTGCCTGTCTTGAGGAATGTCCATATATTCAAAGAACGTCTCCACGGCACGTTCCCAATCTAGAAAATCTTCTATGTGAAGTTTTACATCAAAAAATGGAAGGTCCATTTTTACTCGGAATTCCCCATGCTGTCTCGGCCAAGCCTCCTGGCGATGCCGAGGGGGTGAGAGATATTGTGGAATGTCTTCCTCACATGTATCCTATACATCCTTATGTTGCTGGAAAGCTGGTTTGACATCCGAATCCGATAGCTGCGGCACCTCAATCCACGCCCGTTGACCTCCCCTGCCTCGACGAGGAACTGCTCTGAAGATTGGAGAAGTAGGTGGTTGTGGAAGTTGAACATTTCCGCCTCCGCCCTTGATACTTTGAAACTCCAATCGCACTTCTGTGGTGAATCGACGAAACTCATTCTTGAGTTCTTCCAACTGTTTTAAGGATCAGTGATTGATTCGCCCACAAAGCGCCTTCGCCCTGATCGTCGTCAAGAGCGGGTCGTCTACTGCTCTCCGCCATTGCTGCCCCGACCTTTGCTCTGATACCAATCGTGCAGTGGTAGCAACTAACGGGGAAGAAATAGAGAACTAGCAAGAACAATGAAACAGTAAACACTATAAAGTGGGTATATTAGAATATCAGCAAAAACTACTTTCTGAAGCTTCAACCCGTCACATATACGAAGGGGAAGCATAACTAAAAGAGTGCTAACCAAATGAAAGAGATAATGCTCTAGGTGTGATACTCCTGCAGCATAACTTGAGAGGAAGGTTCCACATCAAAATACAACTAAAAATATATTGTGAATGTAAAAGATACTAAAAAATTTAATCATTAAATATTAGGGCACGTGTGTTGGATATGCGTATTCATTTTAATTTAATTAATATATTAATCTTACACGATTCTGTCATGCCCGACATGTGTCTCAACCGTGTTTGACACGTGTCTAACAATATATTCCCTCTTATGAAGGAGTGTTGGTGCATCAGAGATGAAACCCCATTAAAGTAAGGTATGGGGAGGGTTATTGCATGCAGCCTTACTTCTGAACTTTAGGGAGGCTGTTTTCATGACGCGATCCTCGGGCCTTCAAAATAAATGGGAGTCAACCTCCAGGCCCACCCTCTTTTCTATTCAATTTTGAATTCCTTAATTTTTTAATAATATCATGCTTTTTTTATCCTTTTTTGCTATATTTTACCAGCAATTTAACAGATTTCTTTGATTAATGTAATAGATTGCTGACAACAGCAGATATCTCCATTCTGGGCCGCCTTTCATCATTCTTCTCCATCCTGCGTTAGGTCCTCTTTGGGAAGTTACCAGACAAAAGGTAT